TTTAGACACCATATGTCTGGAACTAGGGAGGGAACTGGTGCCCCTATTAAAAAAACAACATGTGGATGTGGGGAGAACATACAAAGTCCCCACAAAAGTTACCCTAATCTGCCTCCGGCCCTGTACTCAAGAGCTATAGCAACATTAACCACCATTGCAACAGAACTGGTCAAACAACTGCTCAATCATTTTGCTTGCATTTTCATACTTCTGGAAATGCTTTGTGTGCAACTCTAACCCCTAACACTGCAGCTCAATAGGACTGGTGTTTGTGAAATCTTGTAGGTTTCTGCTCATTAACACTTAATGAATGGAGAGTTGACACACACCTGCAGATTTCTTCCTTGTGGCATGCTATTTGCGAATAAATGCATAGAGACTTTTACACTTTCTTGCCACACCCATTGGCCATCACACATAACAAGCAGAGCTGCATACCTATGGTATGTCCATTTGCATCACCCTTAAATGAAGAGGGTACAGGCTGTTGGGAGGGGCTACAAATAAGTGTATGCCTTCACATACAGATTGCTGTTGTAATTAAATCTGAATAGACTTAAAAGGTCATGATCAACAGCAATCGAATGTGAGTGATAATGAATAAAATTCATTAAGTGATAATGAAGATTATTGTTATGCTTTGAAACAGATATGCTTAGACGAATAGTTATTTACCTTTATTACCTTATTTACCATTATTATTAATTGGTTTTCAGTATTATTGAAAACAACCGAGAATGCATCATTCAAATATTACTTCAACATTGCTGTGAAACATGCTGTCAAGAAAACTCTTATTTTCCGGCAAAACGAATGATCATAATTAAACTTAGCTAAAGCTTATTACAAACATTATCCTTGTTTTAGTGGGAGTGTTCCATGGCGTCTGTGAGGATCTCAAGATGATCTTTGCTTTCCAGATTTAGTAGATCCAAGACCTCAGAGCATGAGCCAAAATGGACAAGGACAGATTACTGGAAAATAAAACACACTCCAAACAGTACTGTAGACATTTTTATTCCGTGAATGCATAGCTACTGATCTTAATTTAAAGGACATAAGAAATGCATTTTATGTAGTATCTGTCATATGCACTGGATTCATAACAATGCAACTGCAAAGTTGATTTTTAATTCAATTATTAAATGTAGATACTGTAATGAACATTGCTTAGAACTCTGAAACGAAACGGTTTTAGCCACACCAGTCAGGTTTTCTTCAGCTAAAGAACATATATTAAGTAACCTTTATTTCATGCTGAAATAATTTCGATTGATATTTCTTAACATAAAAATGAAGTAAATAATTTGTGTCCCTTTTTATTCACATTACATATATATTTTATTTTGCAAAAGTATAGATTGTTTTCAATGAAAAGGGAATTTTGTTGGTGAATGTTGTAAGATAAAATGTACGCATGGGAAATATATTAACTGTGCCATACTTATTAAATTGCTCTTTTAGGAACGAGATCATGCAGAGTGGTAATGGAATGTAGGTGGACTGGAATGCTGTTTTAAGAATGCAATTCTTGTACCACAGGAAAAAAAAACATGTCATGCCAGTTTTGGAGTGAGAGACTATAGTTTTTGTGATACTTTCCACCTGTTTCCCTAAATAGTTTGTCCTGTAAAAATCACTGCCCGATTCATTTAATTAGTTCGGAATTGTGTTTCTTTGTATGAAAGAACTATCATGAAAAGTCCAGTTTAATTTCCTTTTACAGACAGCAGACTTTTGTGACCACAGATTTGTACATTTATTTCAACAGTAATATACAGAATTTAAACTTCAGAAACACAAAAAAACAAAAAAAGGCCTGGATAGCAGACATATTAAACAGGCACAATTGTACAATTAGCAAATCATTAGGAGCTGATTTTGCCTGGATATAAACTATAGTCTTTTTTATTTTCTGTTGTGATTACAGAAGTCAGTGGGTGACCTGAAGCATGTTAAAAAAGTATAAGTATAAAGTGTGCATAGTGGGCTCTTGGGTGGATAATGCGGGGTGTGTTTAAAAAAATCAGACAGTTCTGCAGTAGTGTAGAGTCAGAATTAGTTATTATTGAGTGGTGGTGGGACAGAGCACTTTCCAGGAGTGGTAAAAATATAGCACAAATGGTTAGTGAAGGATTGTCTTAATGCTTAAATGGATTCACATTAGCATCACTGTATAAGTGCTAATATTGCCGAAAGTAAATTAAATTAAAAAAAATTTGTTTTTCCTTGTTTTCTTTCTGTGTGGAGTTTGTATGTTCTCCCTGAATTCTCATGGGTTTTCGCCCGGTGCTTTGATTTCCTCCCGCAGCACAAAGACAAACAGGTAGGTTAACTGGCTTCTGGTGAAACTTGGCGTTGGTATGTCTACCCTGTGGTGGACTGGAGTTCCGTCCAGGGAATATCCTACCTTGCACCTGTTGCTTGCTGGGATAGGCTCCGGCTTTCCCGTGACCCTGAATTGGATGAATCGGTTAGATAATGGATGGATGGATATTTGTAAACAATGGGTAAATTAGACTGCTTCCAAGGGATTCCTCCACTAAAAAGCCTCAACTTGGGATGAATGATGACATCACTTGTTCTCCAGGTGATCCCTAGGTTACACCTTGGCTAATTTAAATTGAATTCATATGTGACTGAGATGACACCGAATCAATCAGGTACAACTGATATTGGGTTGGATGTAGTCTGCAAGATTATCCTTCGATGGTTTCATTGCCATTATGTCTATCTGGCAGGATTCTGGCAGAATTGGGTGGTATTGGGTCAACCTACCTAATACCACCTGCTTCGTCTTTCATTTGGCACTTCATCTTCGGCATTTCAGTCTCTTTTTATCAAGCATTTCAAGATATGTGAATGTTACATGGAATGCCACAGGTCGCTTTCTGGTTAAAAGTAGTCAATGCAAGAGTTAATACTAAAATATGGTGTACGATTTAGTGAAAATAATGTATAGTACAGTTCTGGTTTCTTAATTTAAGAGTGTACAGAAATTGTAACCAAAGAAGCAGGCAGTCAGCCTTCTGCACAGGAGAATGCAAACAGCGGTAGGCCAGTCTACTGTGTCCTAGAGAGCAGTCAGTTGCTAGGTTTCTCCTGCTGCCTAGGCTATTTAACACATTGACAGGGCTTACCTTTTTGATCATGGAACAGTTCAAATTACTTAAAGCTTTACACTTAAATGCTCCTTAGTTACACTATTTACCATTGCTGATATAGCAAAACAGTGCTTTGGAAGTTCCTTAAGCAGGTCGAAGACCATATAATTTGTTTGTATTTATTATGATGTAAGAATGAGCATTTGTAGTGGGCAGAAGAAGGTAGGCTGAAAATTATCTTGAACTGTGCGAGATAAGAGAGCTCCTTTTAGTACCTCAGCACTGCAGAGCTACTGCGTTATGGCGTCAATATTTTTTTGTGCTTTAAAAAAAAGAAAAAATACTTCAGTCTTCATGAATCTGAAAGAAACATTTTTTTTAATAAATGAGATTGAACTTGGAAACAAAAAACAGTTCGGCAGAGCTGGAGCTCAAGCATTGAGTTCTTACGTCAGAGAAGATCGACACAGAAGTAAAGAAAGTATCTCAAAGCAAAACTGGTATTTGCCTACAGGGCAAAAACAAATGCACCAACATCACTAATATGACTGTAGTTCTAGACAAGCAGATCGAAGAATATGCATAGAGAAAATCTTTAATCAAAATACCACAAATTAACATGAAACAGGTTTAAGACCATAGTGTAATAAATATCTTCAAGGCTTTTGAATTCCAGTAGACAGCATCTTGCAAACACAAGGGGGCGCTCGAGACCGGCATTTTAGCTGTTTTGTTTGAAACCAAAATTCCTTCAATTTCTATATATTTCAAAATCTTTTCATGGTCTAGATTGAAAAAAAAAAAACGTTTTCATTATTTTAAAGACACATGGGGAATTGTTTATCGGCAAGTAATTCTCTTTGGAGAATGCAATCATTGCAGAAATATTGGGGAAAACGCAAGAAGAGGTATTTGTAAGTTTTCGTAACATAAGGTTGTATTCTTTCTAAAATAAAGGAATTGTAAATTCTGCTTACAATGAACATACTTATTACAGTCTCATCTTCTCTAGGGTTTATCCCCTTATAAAAGGGGAACACCTCTAGTGGACTGCACTTGCCTTTTATAAAGTAAACGTTTATATTTGGTGGTGAGGATACCTTACAAAGTATGTTACATTTCTGTGGAAATTTGCCTGTTTTTGGTCTTTGTCAAGTAGCTTGTTATCTTTGTGGATTTTTTCTAGCCAGTTGTGGTGTGCAGTGCTTGCAGTTGGTAATAGGCGGTAAGTTATCTCATATACACTTGTCACTTAAGTGGACGGGTTCCTACTGTAAATCATGGGTCCAAGATGGGTCACAGCCAGGAGACATCATTCTGGTGCGTCAGAATGTGGGCCAGAGGCAGGCATGAAGCGCCTCTGGAAAGTTCACAGCTACATCCCCCACTACACTGGAGTCGTATCTTATCTGCCTAAAGTAAATACAAACGATACTTTTAAGTAATGGTTAAATTATGCACATACTGTAAAAGGGTAAATTCTCCGGACACTGGCATTATAGCAAAAAAAAATCTTGCTCTCAGGGCTTTTTGCCTACATATTGCGGTTTGCAATTATCGACGGCTGTAAAATCATTTCACTATGTTACAGTTTGCTTGATTTTGTCCATCACGTATATTGGACAACATCTGTTAGCTAGTGTTTAGTCGCTGGGATACTTTACCAAGGTCGGAAACTGTTTTGTACATTTCAATTAATTTGTGATGTATAGTTTTGACGAAATAGAGAACATTTTTTAAACGCAAAAAAGTAGCGTAATATCATTTCTAATTCATTATGACGGCGCTTACAAAACAATACCAGCAATGAATATTAAAGTGTAGGGATTACGTATCTATTTCAGCATATAGAAGGGATTGGTTTGGATTCAGTCACTGTGCCACAGGCAGGGGTAAATAGTGTGTAATCTGAGGACTACAGCAGCACACGCCCCACAAGGAATTGAAAACACGTCATGAAAATTCTGCCTAGTTTCCTTCATTTTCGAAGAAAAGCAGTGTGTGCGACTTGCACGGTTTTTGTATTTATAAGGTTTTGCAATGCAATGTGTCCGAAGACAACCGAAAAGAACAAAATCGGAAGAAATAATCTTCCAGCAGCAGAGCAAGAAGACCGCTCTTGAGAACGGGAAGAGACTAGGTACTGTATTTTCGTTCTTGGTTTAAGTGTTTTCTGATCAGACGTCGGAGTTTTGTGTTGCGTACTCTGTTAAACAGTGTCAGGATTGGTAAGAAGGATCAGAACTGTGTGAAACTAACAATCTAAACATAGACGGTCACTATTACGATAAGAATGTACGTAAAAGACAATAGTGTGGGTTATGATTGTCTCTTCAATCATATCATTCTTAGAATTCGTTGAATCTGCAAAAAGTGCTGAGTGTAAATTTAATTTACAGGTAAAATATTATAGTGCCAGCATGCTTACTCAACCTGGAAAGAAAAACTTGTAAAAAAGTGAAATCTCGAAACTTAACTTTGAAGAGTCAGAAAATGTATGTATATAAACTGGGTTATCACACCATGATGTAATACTGCTATCCTACTATCCTAAAAAGAACGGGAAGGTGTTCTTAAGCCATTGGACATTGGTTTATGCATATGTAAAACATATATATTAAGCATATAAAATATGTAAAACATCTTGATATTAGATAATATCATATCTTTATATTAGATATGAGTATTAAGTGTATTGCTGTCAAATATGAAAATATCTGTATTTTTACTGTTACATTACTTGGCTTCTTGTTCCCAAATTGTAATAAAAGGGAAACATTTTTTTCTTTTTTATTACTCTTTCCAGAGTTTGATTCACTGTTTTAGAAAAAAACATTACACAAGAGCTGGATTTTTTTTTATAAATCCTGTTTGCAAATACTGCAGTTCTGTTATCTTGGCTGACCAACTGACTAATCTGACTGGTCAGTAAATACAAATCGCAAAAATAAGACATTGGATGCAACGTCACTGGGTTTTGAATGGTGCTTTTAAAAAAGTTTGTTATTATTATTCCCGTTTAAACAGAACTAAAAATAAAACAATATGTGCATTTACAGTACATAAAGCCAGAGTGAGGTTTGACTTCAAGGGTAAACCATTGACTCAGAAGTGAGATCGGCCTTTTGACTGAACTACACTGTCCCTCAGGCATTGTGTCAGCACTTGCATTGTTTTCAGCTTCTATGACAGGGCATACAGTAGTAGCTCAATGTGATTTGATCTTATTTTTAAAGAAACAGTAGAAATTCTAAACTCTAACTCACTTTTCTCATTTCCATATGTCTCTGTAACTCTTATAGCCAGCTGAGGACAGTAAGTTCGTCTATTTTTTATTTTTCCTCTTTAATTATTTGGATAGCAATTTGTTTGGACAGCAGCAATAATAATCATCACCCTTTTCAAATTTTAAAAGAAAGAAAAAACAGAAAATGAAAGGATAGACCGTAGGAGTAATGTGCAGTAAGTGTACAGTATGTCAGGCGGAACAGATTTAATAATACAACTGAAGATAACCTCAGATATGAAGGCACATAGTTTCAGTTTACTTTGCAGATTCTTCCAGTTATTTTCTGGGGCAAATTGAAGTGACGTGTGCCCACAGTATTTGATCATAGGAGGTTCAGTTTGAAAAAGATATTATCTATCTTATCGTGGGACAGTACAGGTAAAAGCAATACATATTATTATTATAAAAGGTGTTTTTTCCACTCAAATATTGATAAATTAGTTTTTACCAGTATGCAAACAGGACCTATCAAACAAAAAATAAAGGTAACAATAATGAAATGCAGTTGGGGACTCCAGTGTTTAATCTATTGCCTAAATGATATAGACATCAAGTAGTTTTCAAAGAGCAGTTTTAGAGGCCAGTATGGAAGTGGATTAAGTCTAATAGTCCATAGTCTTAAATTGGGATATATGGACATCTGAACTACCTTATACCTGGAAGAGATGGCCAGGTCTACTTCTGGAAGATCAGGGTGTCTGCAGATTTTAGGTCTCTTAAAAGCAGCATCACCTGCAGAACTGGTTGAAGTTGTTACATTGATTCCGTTAAGCTGAGTCAGATCTTTCAGAGCTGAGGCAGGATGCAATCCTGCAGACACACCAGTCTCCCAAGTCCAGCATTCCCATCCCAAGCATAAAGGAAAATGTAAAACAAGATGTCTGGATGGGAAGTCACCAGTTCTTTAGAACTGGAGTTGTCCTGACTTAGAGCTATGGAAACAATGTAATAGATCTGATACTTTTGGGGCCTCATTTTACACTGTGATTTTCCAAATGTTTTACACAAAAAGAAAAATTGATTCTGCCTTTTTGAAAGCAGACATTGTAGCAGAACAGAGATGCGGAAAAAAAGAAATTTATTTTCCTTAAATGCAGTTATGAATTGTTTTGGTTTTTTATGGGGAGAGACAAAAAGAGAAAAATTTACTTGGAGCTTTGAAAAGTCACGTCCTCTGTTTTGAGAAAAAAACAATGCCGAAATATTGTGTATCTGATAGAGTGGTGCTTGAAAGAGCTACTTTTTCAATGCCCCCTGAGTTATCAAGAGTGTGTACTTCAAAAACAAGCTTAATTGTTAGAATTTTCAGAATGTGTACTCCACAAAAAACATGATACAGTTATTTAAACTGTCCTGTCTTGCTAGCTGTCTTTCCAATAGATCAAATACTACTACTTTTCTTCAGTTTTTACACTAGGACTTAATTTGGGCTGATTAATAATCTTGGGTTGCAGTTAGTCAACTGGTTGGGTGACATGAAGGCTTATGAAAAGACGTTTTGTAGCAGACTTCTGTCTGTTTTTAGCTCAGGTAATTACCATGTTACATCCTAGAAATAGATGAAACTATAAAAGTGGTAACTATTCCAAACATTTTAATCCTTACAATACAAAATGAAAGGAGAGCAGATGCATATGGCTCACTGTTCTGTTATATATTTGAAGTGATCTTCTACTCCAGACAAGTCCTGTATTAGGTGAGGCCCATAATCAAACCAATGCAAGTCAGGAAATCAAAGTTGTTTTCCTTGATTCCTTTATAAAGCATCACAAAAGAACAGGCAATCTGAGCCTTTCATTCAGGAAGCCTGAGATGAAGGCAGAAAGATGAGACGTGGAGAAGGCTTCAATGTAGTGTCTATTCTTTGTCTCCATCAATACAAGTCATTAGTGGTATCAGAAAAAAATGGGATAGCACTGTTTGATTTATTTTGATGTTTACTGCTGTGAGGCATCCTGTTTCTTCAAAAAATGTTAAGCAGGTCTGGCCTGAACTTCTACTTTTTGTTTGTGGTAGTGACAGTTCCCTGAAGCTCAAGACCAAATCAAAACGCTCCATCCTTCTCATAGTCTTAAATTACAAACTTCTTCATGGCAGATGTCCTTTGTACAGATGTGACCAAAAACCTGCTAGCAGTACTGAACTAGGTGTCTAGTGCTGTCTCCACTTTGTGTTTTACACTTTTTTTCTTGTCTGCACTTTATTGTTTTTTTCACACTTGTTTTACACTTTTTTCTTTTTTAACATTCAAGAGACTTTCTGTAAGTAAGAATTCCATTGTACTAGTTACATATGCCAATAAAGTTCAAATTCAAGGTCCCTTGTAAGTAGAGGATGGAAGTTTTGATTGATCTGACCCATGTTCGTACGGTATTTTTATACAGTGGACTACTCTTAAATGCTTAACTTTTGTGTATTCAATTGTTTTTATAACATACTTCTTGTACATACTTGTACAGTATGTATCTGGAATCTACATACAAATGCAAGGATCTATATGGAACATATAAGACAGGTGGAGGCTGTGTTTCTCTTGACATTCCTACCCACAGTAGCTTATCATGTTGTGAATAGTTTGTGTAGTCGTTGTTGTATTGCTTTCTTGTTGTCTTCTGTCAAATTGATGAACGAAAATAATTCCCATTTTGGTCGGTGGATCTACACACGCTGGGAAGATTGCCACAAAATTAAAATTGACAATCAAAAAGCACGACTAAATTCCTGTGGAGTACAACTCAAAATTTAAGATGGCTTGACCAAAATAGTTTCTTAAACAGAATCCTTGCACTGAGTCAGATGTAAAACATTTGCCCATTTCTTATGGTCAGAATAAGATTTACCTATAAAGCCTTAATATTTTTTTCAGCTAGGGTGAGGCACAATTACTGCAATCCGAGAATAAAATGGAGTCTGTTTGTGTATAGGACTGAGTATGTGACTTATGGAAAGTTTAGCGGGCGTGATATAGGTCCTGGCTTTGAAAGGTTTTACAAGGCCTGGTTTTATGAAAGTATTGAACTTGGCATGCTCTCACGACACTAATATCCAAATGATGTTAGCACCTACAGTATATGCTATTTGTCTTATGTTTATTAAAGCGCAAGCATATTCTTTCAATGGCAGACCATATGCCTGTGAAAAACTAATTTGGTACAAATCTCATTTTGCAGCCTCACAGTGTGGACCTCTGTAAGAATATAAGAAAGGTTACAAGAAGAGGTCTTTTAGCCCATAAAGCCAGTCTGGTAGTAGCTAGCATTCCCTCCAGGAATGTAACAGAAACCTATACTATTACAGATAGACCATTCAGACACACTGAGTTTAAAAGGATGCCTTCCTGCCTGATGGAAATATTTACTGTATATTTAGTGTTTCTCAGTTTCAGGCTGTGGTTGCAAGAAACATCTTAAGTATTTAATGCTTTATATACTGTACATGTTTCTCTTTACTAGGGTGTTGACTTATGTATTTTAAACTAGTTTGTGCAACACCCTTACACTCAAAGAAGATGGTAGGTAAAAACTAATAAATCTTAAATTACTGAACCTTTTAGATATGTTTCTTTTTAAGCTATTGTTTTCATTTTGACCTGGCTAGTTGGTATCTCTTGTTCCTCATATGTGGCTGTGAGTGAAAGCATGTGTAATGAACAGTTCTTTCCGGGCCCTATGTGGACGACACAATCCAGAATAGTGAAGGCACAAGGGGAAAAATAGTCATGCAGGAAAAGGGTCTGGAGACGGGGGCGTGTCCATGCAGTGTAGGTGTCCAGGGGAAGTGAGTCCAGGCGAACAATCCATGTAGGAAATCCAAAAGAGTAATCCGAGACAAAGGGTAGAGTCCAAGGCCAG